ATTTCCTCTGGGGTGGCTAGTACAGGTGATGATTCTGCTACAGGTGGTGATTTACCAGAATTGCTGAGTCAACCCGAGGGCAGGTCAGTAGTGATGCAGCTCCCGCCGGGCTGCGGCTCCCGCCGGCTGTAGTGCATCTTTTTACCACAAAGCATAGTAGCGTTCCTCCAGCAATCGGGTGATGAGACTATCCACGTTCAGCTCCCCGTCCACCAGTTCATCCTTTTTCTGACGAGTCCACTCTCCGGACGATTCCCCCAAATGGACTCTTCATGCATCTCTCCATGTGTAAAGCAACTTTTTGTGGTGTGACTTTTCTCTTTCTCGCTGTTTTCTTTATCACATTGTTCCTGGGCCGGGGCTCCAAGCCGCCTGCCCGCGCTCCGCCATGCGCTGCGGCCCCACCCCGAAATTGTTTTTATAGAATTAGAAAAAGGAATAAAGGAACCAAGAAGAATGTGAATGGATTTTATTAACTATTCATAAAATTTCCATGCAACACAGGTATTAAAGATTGAAGCAGTCTTTCAAAATTATTAAATGGGCTTTCTTTAAAAGATCATTTTCTTGGCTATCTTGAGTACTTGCTCACAGAAAAAAAGAGCTGTTAAAAGAATTTGTCACATGCTCATTTACAGTAGATAAAGTGAAAATAATTCTTTCAGTGCTTTGAGAGAATTTGCCATTTGCTTGTAGTTCTGGTTTACAATATACCCTCTTAGTCTTTATGAATAGCTGTGATTTTAGAATGCCCTAATTTTCAAGTTATGACAAGTTGGGCAACATAGAAGAAACTGTGATTATTTTAAATACTGGCTATCCCTAGAGAAAATTGTGTTTATTGTTGAAATGATTACATGTGTTGCTGCGTTTTTAGTTTTGCTTTTTTCTTTTAATAGAAAGGAAAGAGCTTTGATTTTTATTACTCTTTGAAAATTATATTGGCTACTTTTAAAGTACTATACATTTGCAGAGTTATTTAATTTCTAGTTTTCTAAGTGAAATAGTTGCTTTGTTGAAATAAGGGTTTGATTTTACTAAACTTTTGCATTTCCTTGTACTAATTTGTCTTTTTATAAATTTTCTCTAAACTTGTAGATATACACCTGAAGAAATTGAAAAGCTCAAGGAGTAAGTTTTGCATTTTTTCCCCTTACTTCTGATTTTTAATAAAGTTTTACTTTGAAAATTTCAGGCAGACTGGTATAATTTAATACTTACTAAGCATAAGTGACTATCATAAAAAGAGTTTATCAGATCCATACCTGCAGAGTAACTTTTCCATGAAGGATAAATGTAGGTTCTATTTATAAGTTGCCAGTGTCTTCCTCAGACCTTTAAAAAGAGGGTTTCCAGAAGAGAGTGTGTATTCATTGAATAATGAGGCAGATTATCTCCTTGTAAAGGCTGTTAACTCTCAGGAAATAATCCTTTTCCTCCATTGAGTTAGAGCCACAAAGGATGATTTAAAGGACTGCATGGATCATGGAAACAGTTAAAAATACAGCCTGTTACTTTGATAAAGACCTGTAAAATCGATTCATATGTCTGCAGAAGAATTTAAGAGTATGCTCAATGGGGGAAAAATCTGGGGCTTGCCTAGGAGATTGTGTCAGTAACCTTAGGGGAAATTTGGTCTTTTTTGAACACATATCCAAGTTATTTATTTCTTCTCCGACCCAGGAAAAAGGCAATTGCTGCCTGTTTTTTTTTTCACCCACAGACAACTGTGGACCCCAAAAAAAGGCCACACTTTCAAACTTTGGCTCTCAAAGTATTGCTGCCCACAACTTCCAAACCAGTCAAATGGGAAGAAGAAGAATGAAGAATAAATGATGAAATTAGAAGGGAGAAAACAGTTGAACCAAATGCTGATTGGCAGACTCTTGTTTTAGGCTCCGGATAAAGCATGGCAATGACTGGGCAACAATAGGTGCGGCGCTAGGAAGAAGTGCGTCTTCCGTCAAAGATCGGTGCCGATTGATGAAGGATACTTGCAACACAGGTACCATTGAGTGCTCTGGACAGTGTTTTCTTATCAACATTTGAGCTATCTGCCTTCTCTTTTAGAAAAAACCCAGTTTCCAAGTCTCGATTTCTCATGAAACTTAATAGAGCTAACCTCTTGTTTTTGTGCTTTTCCCTAAGATGACAGACAGTATTTATAGAGACAAAACATCTCTGTTCTGAATGGATTTAGGTTTAGCATGTTTTCATTTTCTAGCAAGCACTTTAAAACTATTTCCTTTAGGAAAATACTTGCATCAAGGTACACAAAGAGAAGTGGTTTTCATTTACTACCCTTATTTTTTCATGAAAAAAACCCCTCTAAATCAGATATGTAAATCTGCCATTCTGTGACTTAGCCAACTTAGAAAATAGAATCAAATGAGTACTTTAAATTGGAATAAGCCCAGAGGGTCATGTAACATGCTACTTGGGCCACAGAACTACTTGTTAGCATAAATTGGAAGAATGTTGGACTTTTACTCTGTGTTGCCACATATTGCTTCTAATTAGTAGACAGACAAGATTTGGGATAATGGTGTCAGTCTGATGTTCACTAAGAGCCCATAAGTTATCCATCTTGTTCCTCATTATTCATCTTATAAATAGTGACATTTATTTATTCTGATAGTTTGATGGCTAAGGAGTTGCACCAGCAACACAGAGGCAGGCAGTTCAAATCCAGCAGCTGCTCCATGAGAGAAAGTTGGTTAGTCTCTCTAAAGCCTCTGAAAGCCTGCTATGAAACATATCTAACTTGATAGCAATGAGTGAGTGACTTCTGCAAACACAAAGAATATGATGTGTGTACGAAAAATCCATGTGTTTCTATGTCGTCTTAAGTTAATCGTGAAACTTCTCTAACCCATTACCATCATGTTGATTCCAACTTAATGGTCATTCTCCTTGGTTTCTCTAAGGCTGTAAATCTTAATAGGAGCAGAATTAGTCCTGTTCCTCCGAAAGGTCTAAATATTCCCTTTTTTACTAAGAACCTTAACTGAGATTATGTGGTTCCTCACCACAGGGTGTTAAATTCTTAGCTATTGCCAGTCAGTATTTAGAAACCCAGGGCTGGATTTGATTTACAGAAAGAGAAGGGCAGCATTGGTAGTCTGGATGGTTTTCTTTTTTTTTTCCAGGGAAGTGGACAGAAGAAGAAGAAAAGAGACTTGCAGAAGTGGTTCATGAACTGACAAGCACTGAGCCAGGTGACATAGTCACACAGGGTGTGTCTTGGGCAGCTGTGGCTGAACGAGTAGGTACTCGCTCAGAAAAGCAGTGTCGCTCTAAATGGCTCAACTACTTGAACTGGAAGCAGAGTGGGGGTACCGAGTGGACCAAGGAAGATGAAATCAATCTCATCCTCAGGTTTGTGTTCATTTTAATTTTTTTTATTTAAAGCAGCTCAATTGTTGTGAATAGCTTGAGTTTCTTCTGGTTTTCCCAATCCTAATATCCAAAAAACATCCTTTCCATGTCCAGCCACTGTTTAAGATCCTAAATATTTCATATTGAGCTCTTTTTGTTTTGTGTTTGTTCCTTTTTAGTGGCGTTAGTGCTCGTACAAAGTACCAGATTGAAGGCGTGGAGACTGAAGTCCTCTCTATATCCACAGAACAGGTATGGCACAGGCAGTGGCAGCGCAGCTTTTCTGCTGTCCCACCAATGTGCCTCAGTCTTAGCCAAGCTGGAGTATATATAGGGTAAGAGGCCTTTTTCAGTCTCCATGCTCTTCAATCCATGGCTACTATGTATGCTAAGACTGCCAGGAAGGGGTTTGAGTCTACAGTTAACCTCATCTCTTTAAAGATACACTTCCATTTCATGCAAATCCAAAAGCCTTAAGGTAGAACCTCAAACTTGCTTAATCATTGACTCAGAGGAACAAAATACACACAAAAAATTATTTAAAGACTGAATAGAAACTGCCATTATGGTTACATAATGAAAAGCAAAATCATCTTGTAGTTAAAACTAAAAGTAAGTGGACTTTTAAAACCTCAAATTTAGTTGTATTTGTTGGGTTTTTGTTGTGGCTACAGTGTATTTTTCATTTTGGGTGGCTTTTTTTGTTGTTTTGTTCGTGTTGAATTCATCATTATAAATAGCTCATGTCTAAATAGTATTATTACATACGTGGGAAAGCTCAGATCCAGGAAATCCAGGAAAGGCAATGAAACACTGCAGGAAACTATAGCTAAACCTCATGCTCCATTCCTTTTCCCTCACAGTGCTTCACTTGAGTCTAACCGTTCACAGTTCAGTCCATTGTCTATCCCTTTTCTAAAGGGTGTTCTAAAGTGTGTGGTGTAACTTGCCAGTTCCTTTTAGCACTGCCATTGTTTAGTCAGAAGAGAGTTATTCTGGTGAAATAAAGCAACAACTAACAGATGCTTATTTTATAATCTATAGGATAGCAGAGCTTGACGTTGCTGATGAGAATGACATAAACTGGGATCTCCTAGCAGAGGGATGGAGCAGTGTCCGTTCACCACAATGGCTTCGCAGTAAATGGTGGACCATCAAAAGGCAGATTGCAAATCATAAAGATGTTTCATTCCCCGGTAAGGTGTCATCTACTTTTTAAGTCTTTCTCTTCGTTTATCATACTTAATTTTCTTAGGTTTTGGAAGTTCCTTATCTCAACTGAAGAGAGAACCTGGTATATTTTTCCTTCAAGTCTGTCCTAGTTAGGTAACTATCTTCTCTAGAGAAAAGGTGATGCGATTTGTCATTCTCAAAGCACCTAAAATGAAAAGAAACATAATTTAAAGACATTTTTTGCATTCCTACGTAAACTATGGAGAAAGACTAATTTTATATATGTAACTCTCATTCTGTACAGTCTTGTGTTTTTGGTGTTGGTTTTTTTTTTTAAAGCAACATGTATTTTTTTTTAAAGCATTTCTTCCCATTTCATTTTTCCCATTCATTTTTGCACATTTTGCTCCCTACCCCACAGTTCGCTTTTATCTTTGAAAAGGGGAAAAAAATTCTTTCATTGTTATACCTCCCCCCCGCCCAGGTCCACAGTCTACTTTACTATGCATTTCTTTTTCTGGAATCTTGTCATGAAAATACTTTCCCTCATCTGTTTCAATATAGTATGTATCATTTATCCCATTTTCCCTAGGTTCCCCCCAACCCTGATGTCAGTCTCATTTTATAACAGGGGCACTATGCAGTATTTGTCCTTTTGTGACTGAGATATTTCACTCAGCATAATGTCCTCCAGGGTCACCCATTTTATATAATGGTTTATGAGTTCCTTGTTTTTCAGTGCAGCATAGTATTCCATTGTGTGACTATACCACAGCTTCCCTATCCATTCATTTGTTGATTTTTTTCTAAAAATTTGTTTAGATATGTTTTCGGTGGTAATTTGTACAATAAAGATGATGAAAATTCTTATACACTGTGTGAATCTAGAGAATATTTCAGTTTATACATTTAAAAAATCTGGCATTGAAATCAGAATAGTGAATGAATACTAATGAACATATGTTCATATGCCAGCATCAACTGAGGAGATGAGTGCAGCTTTCACTCAAAACTCACTGGCATCTAATTAGAACCAGCTCATACCTGACACTCAAAACTCACTGGCATCTAATTAGAACCAGCTCATACCTGACCCTAAGCAGTAGGTTTTCAAAGTCCATAAATCATTTGGGAGATTACTCATCTTTCTCCCATGGAGCTGATGGTGAATGTCGCCTACCAAAGAAGTGCTGCTTTTGTGTTAGCAACACAGCTCCTTGCTGATTGCACATATTATCACATGCAAACAAAACAGTGCTGAAGATCATTCAAAACTGGTTAGAACAATACATAGAGAACTGCCAGCCATTGAGGTTAGATTTAGAAGAGGCTTTGGCACCAGAGATACCATTGCTGTCAGATGAAAAGATGTCACTGAAAGCAAAGAATACCAGATTAAGGTCTATTAGCGTAGCAAATTATGGCTAACATTGAGAAGAATGAGAAGACAATTGTGCTCATGTGAAACCTAAGGCTGTTATGCAAAAAGCGCAAGAGAACATAACCTGGTTTAAAATTAAGGTGTTACATCCTTCTCCATACCTATTCAGTCTATGCTGAGCAAATTACTCAAGAAGCTGGACTCTGAAGAATGTGGCATTGGGATTGGATAAAGATTCATCAGCGTTATGCACATAACACAGTCTCGCTTGCTAAAAGTGAGGAACACTTGCTGCAGAACAGGGCAGGCAAGCTGTAGTTTAAAAATACTTTAATTGTAACAAGTATGCATTATTGTTATTCCAAATCGTTCCTTCCTCACTCCCTTCTCACGTCTCATTTGCTGCTGGTCTTTTGGAGTATCAATGTTTTTTTGTCTGCCCATCTTCCTTCAGTTTTAATAAAAGGTCTTAAACAGTTACATGAGAACCAAAAAAACAACCCAGCGCTTTTCGAAACTAAATCGGGACCTGGAGTTCCAAACAGTAGCTCCAACTCCAATGTACAGCATGTTCAGATCAGAGTCGCCCGCTTAGAAGAAAATACAGCTCTCTCTCCAAGCCCTGTGACAGCACTGCAGATTCCAGTCCAGATCACCCATGTTTGTAAGTGTCTCAACCGCACAACTGCTTGCTATTTGTTGATAAAAAAACTACATGATTTTGTTATTGATTCCACATACTTTACCTGGAATATTTATGGACATTTTCTTAAATTGATGAGTTTAAAGGAATTCACAGTATCTTAACTCAGTATTTGCCCAAAGGATCATTTATAGGATGCACTGGTAAACTGCTCAGCCACTAGAACTATTTCACTTCATAAATCATACTACATGTAGGTTTTCAAGCAAGGAAATACAGTTTAGAAAGTGGCAGATCATACAAACTAATTCACCAGAAGATGCATAGATTAGGAATGGATATGTGATAAATTATGTAGGATTCAGATTGAAAAGAATTTTTCTTCAGAGATAAGGCCAGCTAACATGCATGTCATCCTTATGCAAAGCCATCTAATCTCTCTGTAGTGTCATTGTTAGTAAATGTGCTATGTAAGCAAACACTCTCATTGGGAAGGATTTTCTAATCCACCCATCAGTTTTAGCATTCAGGTTAAAATATCTTAACTGTGTATCTGGTTCTGGGATACACATACTTTTTCAGGCAACATAGATCATTCTGGAATAGCAAATTTTATTTCACTTTATTTAACAACCCTGGATTAGCAGTCAAGCACTTACCTTGAGCCACTAGGACACCTTTTAAATGCATCTGATCTCTTAAGATGCTATTCAGTCTCCCAAGTGTGGTAATTTTTAAAGTCCTTTTCATCCTCACAGGTGTTTGGTGAGAGGTAGAGATTTTGAGAAAGGTACCTTACTTGCCCAGGTTCACACTGCTGAGAAGTAATAAGCTAGAATTAAAACCAGATGTTTTGGTGCTCAGAAACTGTTGTTCACCATTCTGTCTCAGGACTGAATTCTTTTTTACCAGGTTCCTGTCTCTTTGCAGGTTAGTCTTACTGTGTCCCTCGTGTTAGAAACATTTTATGAACTTTATCAAGTGTCAGCAAATCTTTAAGAGGTCAGATACTAAATAAGGGTTGTAGGCCATATGAGTCTGTCAGCCCTACTTGTATGAAAGCAGTCAGAGAAAGTACATGACTATGGGTATGTTCCACTATTACTTTTATTTTAAAAAACCCAATAAGCAGCAAGCTATATTGGACCAGTGACAATCCAGGTAAATTCATTAGCTTTCTCCTCACTCAGCAACTAACATAAATTGAGGTTTCTAGGCAAATTATTCAGTGTGATTAACTTCATAATAAATGTTTGCTCAAGCATACTGGGAAAATTTAAATTTGCCAAGTATTTTATTCATTTGTCTCTGTTTTTACCCCAGCTTCAAATGACTCTCCTGCGGCTACTGTTGACTCAGAAACCATAACACTAAACAGTGGAACACTACAGACGTTTGAGATTCTCCCAGTGAGTAATCATTGACTGCATCAAATTTTTTTTCTATAATTATATTTTATTAATTTTCATAAACATTTACAGAGATTTTGGGCTTCCACTCATTCATTGTTGCACTTGCATCAAATTGATTAAGGTCCTTGTACAAAAGAAAAAGCAGTTGGAATCGTTTATTTTTTCATATAAGCAATTCCATCTGTGAATTTGAAGCCAATTACAAAACTAGACTTAATACTTAAGCGTTTACAATTAATCTTCCCACCACAATATTTAACCAACAGTTAAATATATATATATACACACACACACACACACTGTAAATTTTTTTTAAGGCTAAATTTTGTTAATACCCTATTTCATATCAGTTACTAGAGAAAAGGCTTGGGAACAAATTGATGGGCTAAGAAAAGCAGTGTGGCAGATACTTCAAGTTAAATATGGGGTTACCATAGGACTCAAGAATTCCAAACCAGCTTACCCCAGGAGAAATGAAAAAGCTTGTAACACAAAAGCTTGTAACATTCACATACTAAGATTTTAAAATAAGAATTTTCTTTTTCCTGACCATTGCTATTGCTGTTTGTTGTTTGGTGCTTTTGAGTCAAGTACGACTCATAGTGACCCTGTGAACAAAAGATCTGAACCCTGTTCTATCCTGCACCATCCTCTGCACATTGAAGTGTCCATTGAAGAGCCCATTGAAGCAGTCACCGTGTCATTCCATCTGGTTGAGGGTCTTCCTCTCCTTCACCGACCCTCCACCCTTCCAAACATCATATCCTTCTCTAAGGAATAGCATAGCAACATGCCCAAAGTATGTGAGGTGAAGCCTCATCATTCCTACCTCCAACGAGTACTCTAGCTGCACCCTCTCCAAGACATAGCAGTTTTCTTGGCCATCCATGGGATGTTCGGTGCTGCTTCTCCAATACCACAGCTCAGAGGTGTCAGTTCTTTTTCTGTCATCCCTATTCACTGTCCAGCTCTCAGATGCATAGGAAGTGATTAGAAAGACTGTGGCCTGAATCAGACATACCTTATCCCTCCAAATGACATCACTACTCCTTAATTATTTGGAGAGGTCCCTAACTGATTTTCCCAGTGTAGTGTGTCTCATTTCCTGACTGCTGATACGAAGGGTGTTGATTGTAGATCAAGACAAAATGAAGCTGTTGACAGTTTCAGTCACCTCCATCCATCATGACACTGCTTATTGGTCCAGTGGTAAAGAATCTGTTTTCTTGATAGTGAGACACAGGCTGCATTCCTTGATCATCTGCAACAAGTGCCTCAAGTCTTCCTCACTTTCAGCAAGCAAGGTTGTGTTATCAAAAGTCTAGAATAGTTCATAAGATAGGTAACAGCCAGCAGTTCGAACAGAATTTATAAGAGGCCATGGCACCAGGGATACCATTGCTGATGTCAGATAGCTCCTGGCTGAAAAAGAATACAAGAATGTGTATTTATGCTTTATTGTTTATGCAAAAGCATTTGGCTGTGTGGATCATAACAACTTGTGGCTGACTTTGAGAAGAAAGGGAATCCCAGAACACTTAAAATTGTGTTCATGTGGAACCTATACCTGGACATAGTTGTATGAACAGAGCAGGAGAACACTGCATGGTTTAAAATTGAGAAGGGAGTGCATCAGGGTTGTAGTCTTTCCATACTTATTCAGTCTGTATCCTGAGCAAATTATCTGAGAAGATGGACTCTATGAAGAGGAGTGTGGCATCAGGACAGGAGAGACTCAGTTCTTAACATTATACTATAAAAAAATCTAATCAAAGGGAGCTCTGGTGGCATAGTGGCAAGAAGGTATACCACAATCCCAGAGGTATGCTGTTGGAATCCACCAGATGCTCTGCTTGAGAAGGAGGGGCAGTCTCTTCCTGTACCAGTTAGATCCAATCTGATGGTACACACACACAAAAAAATAAATGTTCCTAATCACACCTTTTTAGAATATGAAGTTTTTAATTTTTAACTGGAAGATTGCTACCAAGGAAGGCTAAAGGAGAAAAAGATAAAACACTAATTTATTGACTAGAAGCAGTGACATATAGCAGATAGGCTGAAACCAGGTCATACTATGTTAAAACACCAGGCTGTTTGGATTATGTTTGTAATGTGGGATTAAATAGATTTGGGACTATTTTAGTCTGATTTTGGAAAGTTCTGGGTGGTGATAGGTTTGTGCTTGAGTACTAATGTAAAGTTTAAACCCTGTGTTAAGAAAAGCCTGGCTGTCAGCCTCCATACATTTTACAATCAAGAACACCCTGAGTAGCACATGGGCTTGCTGTCATTCAGAATCTACTCAGAAGTGGAATTTGGTTTTGAAGTACACAAGCTTAATCAGTTGTACTATTTTTTCCTTTTCTTTTAGTCTTTCCACTTGCAGCCCACTGGCACTCCAGGCACCTATCTACTTCAGACCGGCTCAAGCCAAGGCCTGCCCCTCACTCTGACTGCTAGTCCCACAGTAACCCTGACTGCCGCTGCTCCTGCTTCTCCTGAACAGATCATTGTTCATGCTCTATCTGTATGTTGACATGAATAAAATCCTTGCTTTTTCTAGTTTACAGAAGATTGGGCTAACTAGTAAATCACATTTAAAGATTATCTGTCCATTCCCCTGCAGTTGTAATATTACAGAATCTTTGTGCGTTACCTCTAGATGGGAAATTTATTTCAAGTACTGGAGTACCTATGTGAAATGAGGATTAGCTGATCCAGAATTTTATAAGGTAGCTTAAATTATTCTACCAACCTTACTCCAGAAAGTTTTGTACCAGTAGGATAGGAGATGAATTACAGTGTAGAGATAAAGCATTAAGAGAACAAGGACCTCAGTGGATTTAGAGGACAGGGGTTGTAGAGTTAAGAACGCTGCAGACTAAAGATAGAGATACTAGTAGGTTTCATTTTATTTTGTCATTAATAGGTGTTTTTAATGTTTTATAGCCAGAACATCTGTTGAACACGAGTGACAATGTCACAGTGCAGTGTCACACACCAAGGGTCATCATTCAGACTGTTGCCACAGAGGATATTACTTCTTCCATATCCCACACAGGATTGACCATAGATGGTGATACCCAGTCATCTGATTTTCCTGAGCCTCCGGATGCACTAGAAGCAGATACATTCCCAGGTGCAATCCATCAGCCTAAAGTGACTGTGGAGCCATCATTTAATGATGCTCATGTATCTAGATTCAGTGATCAAAATAGCACAGAACTGATGAATAGCGTTATGGTCCGAACAGAAGAAGAAATCTCTGATACTGACCTTAAACAAGAAGCAGACTCACCCTCTAATTTAGCCAGTGCTTATGTTACTGAGGTAAGTTGTACTCGAAAGAACTTAGACCCTTAGGAGTCTGCCTTGAGCTGTAGAAAGAAGCCTAGAAATAATTGCCAGGGAGATAGCCCCTGGTGCGTTCAATTCTTCTGTAGACTCAGTATAATGCCAAATCTTCATAAGGATCTGCTAGTCAGCAGTGTTGCTACTGGCAAAAGACAGTTTGTAGCAAGAAAACCATGTTCTAGCTTTCCAAGGGTCATCTTTTATAATAAAAATAATCTTTTATAAATAAAACTTTTCTCTCCAATAGATTGAGAAAAAATTACTGGCAAATTTTCTTAAAGGTAGTTTTTTGAAGGTTTTTGTGATTCAGCTTAGGAACTTCACAATGGAACAGCAGTGTTTCTCCTATGTGACTATAATTGGTTTGGTCTCTTTTTACTAAGGTACATCAACCTAGATAATTTTATTTTCCAACATTTCTGTTTCTTTGTATTCTGATTATAAAATAGGATCATATTTGATAGTTAATTCATAGCAAACCTATAAATGCCTGGGATATGAGAGTATCATCTTTTTTCCCCCCCCCCCAATATGATGTAGGATTTAGAATCTCCTACCATAGAAGAACACGTTGACCAAACAACAATTGATGATGAAACAATACTAATTGTACCTTCACCACATGGCTTTATCCAGGCATCCGATGTTATAGATTCTGTCCTGCCTTTGACAACACTAACAGGTATTGTAGCTTATATGGTTCTGATAAACCTTAAAAGAAAAACTGGGCAGACAAGGCATTAATTCCTTTGGTTTAGTCTTTCTTGATCCAACAATAGTCTTTTCACTTAAAGCTTACATATTAGTAGAAGAATGCTTAAATCAAATTTTTTGGCATAGGGTAGAGAGTGCATACATAGACTAACCTGTACCTTAATTTACTGTAGATCCTATACTTCAGCATCATCCAGAAGACTCACGTATCATTGAATCATCTTTGTGCAGTCCTATTTCAGAAGACTCAAAGGATGCTGAGGACTTGGTAAACTGTCAGTAGGTAATTCTTGGAAACAGGATGGTTGAAGCAAAGAAGCCACACTGTTAATTGCAACATCCAAAGAAATAAAGCAGCACCATCCAAGGAACTTAATGTACCATCCTTCTGGCTTTTAAATATCTATAGTGCTTAAACCATACACATTGTTGCTGCTATAACTTACCTCCTTTTATCATCTGAGGTCCAGTTTCAGAACTGTAGTTTTGGAATATGGCATTGATCTCTGTATAGTGTTGTCAGTGGGGAATTTTATTCACTTCAGCTATTGCAAAAAGTTTAAAAGCACCAAAGCTTTAAAAAAGGCTTTAAAAAGCCGTCCATCTTTAAAGATCAGACATGGTTCTCCATGTTACAGGTCTTTTTACAGTCCAGAAAAGTCACACTGATAGGATCTTAGAGCATATCAGTGGTCTTCTAAATGACCAGCATACAGAGACCTAGGAAATTACTATGGCTGTTTACTTTAAGGGGTTTACTCCATTAGCTAGCAATGAGAGCTGATTTAGGCAGGGTAAAGTGGAAAGCATTAAAGTTTTAAGTCACTACGGATTTTTGTTTTTATTCTTTTTTTTAAAAAAAAATCTTACTTGGAAAAGAAATGTAAGACTTTTAACAGACCCCACATGAACTTAAGCAGAGTTTTTAACCCCCTCAGAAACCACTGTCATCAGTTTACAAAGTTAGCACTTTGAAGTAAAATTGAAATGAGGAAGATGTAATGTTTACCTTTCATACCATGACTGTTTCGAACATACTTGGGTATACAAATTATCCAGGAAAAAAAAGTTTAGAGGAGGATTGCTATTTGCCATTCATTCAGTGCATTAGTTTGGTAGGGTACAGTATAACTTCTCAGGCAATTTGAATCAAACAAAATTTGCCTCTATAGTAAAAGGAAACAAATCAAGTCATTCCTCTACTAGGAGGTTTAGCCAAGACTAGCCTCTATAGAAAATTCACAAAAAATGTATAAATTATTTTATTTATTATTGTAATTAGATCTTCACCATCAAAGTTGTCTTTTCACCGTCTGTTTTGTTAACGTGAATAAAATTGTAGTTATAAGCAAAAGTTGGTTGCATAGGGAACAATAATTGTATATTCAGTTTAACAGAAATAAAGAGTATTTGTCTTAAAATTAAGATTTTGGTTGTTACATAGCCTATTCGCCATGCAATTAACATTATAAAAAATTTCTTTGAAAAGTGAAAATTACTTGTGCTGTTTGAACTTGGAGTTGGAATGTTTAAGCTTCCTAAAGAAAAAGTGATCTATATGACATGTCTCCCCTGCAAAAGGGAATTTAATTTATTTAACATGAAAATCATGTACCAGACTCCTACAGGAGATTCTTCAGTATACATTTTCCAGCTCTATTCATAGTCCTAATAAAACAGCTTTGCAGAGTCCTGGTAAGTTTTTGTCCTTGAGAGCCTCACTTTCCCACATCATGGAAGTACAGGTTTGCACATATACATAACATGATGATGGAAAATAAGATATAGTAAATTAAATTTCTGAATTTCGGTTCCAAGTCTCCTTGCCGATACCAGTAGATCTAAAAAAAGAAGAAAAGTTCAGTATAGCCACTGCTATTAAAATGTTAAATGCTACTAACTTTGCATTACAACAAATATTATTTTGCTGATAAGTATTTTCTACATTAATGGCATGTAGTCAGGGAACCTCAGACGCCAGCTACGAGTAAACCTAGTGGATGTGATGGGTTTGTGTCAGCTTAGCCGAGCAGGTTAAATGATACAGTGGGTAGTCACTATGCACCACAACCTGGTCTTTGGAGGCTTAATTATTTTATATTCTGTATTAATGTAACTAGAATTTAATTCTTTTTTTTAAAAATTTTATTATTTTTTGTGTGAGTGTACCGTCAAATCAGATCTTACTGGTACAGGAGGAGATGGTCCCTCCTTCCCCTGCAGAGCATCCGGTGGATTCGAACCGTGCGCCTCTGGGATTGTAGTTGCAGCTCCTTACCACTAGGCCACCAGAGCTCCCCTTAGAATTTAATTCTTTTATCAATACCGATTCCTATGTCCATGAATATACTCAAAAATCCTAGTTTCTCAGTTTGTCCCCTTCTGGACAAATTTAAAGTATGTTATTGTTATGTTCAGTTTTGTTGCTTGTGACTCATAGATCTCTGCACAACGCTGAAGCCTGTCCTGTTCTAAGCCAGTTTCGTGACATGACACTCCTACCCCCATTGCCTCAAATATAGATAGTATCCTTGCATTACAACAAATATTATTTTGCTGATAAGTATTTTCTACATTAATGGCATGTAGTCAGGGAACCTCAGAGTAAACCTAGTGGATGTTGCCAACACATATAAAGCTTATGTTATGGTTACAAGTTTAACTCCCTATAACAGAGAACATCTTTCTTCTGCCCTAAGGCTCCCAAGAGGAAATGGACCAAGTCATGGTCATTTAGAAAATTAGGGAATTGACAAATTTAATTATGGTATGTATTTATTTCATGGTAAATACTAAGGTTTTGTTTTTGTTTTTTTTGTTAACTACCAACATTGGGCAAATACCCATCTGAGAATCAACCACCATCAAAAAGATTTTTACAGTAATTAAAACTGAACCATTGCTTTAGGCTTCCTAGGAGATACAAACTATCAAATTTTGCAATACAGCCCATCTGCTGTCTTCTAAGACCATTTCCCAAGGTGTACTAGGCCTGTACATTATCTCCTGAATTAGGCCTAATTATGGTTAAATCTTTGGTCACTGTTAAAACTGTAAAAAGGATTGCCAAGGAAACAACAGATTTTTTTCAAAAATTTGCACATGCATTCCACACACTTTTTTAGTGTAAATCCAGGTCTGGAATGTATCCTGTACACATGCAACCTTAAGCCTTCAAAAATAGTCTATTAAAATTTTAAATGGTACTTACAAGTATGCAGGCAGTAATACTACTCAAAGAGATGCAGACAGCAAAAAATATATTCAGTGGCTTCGGAGGTAGTTGAGGGAAAACAAAAGCACTGATCAATGTTACCTGTATGGAAAGAAATTATGTAAAGCCTTTATTCTAAGACTTGGTTTAACTGAAGTCTAGGCAGTGTAATACTAGGGGGAAAAAAACTTAAAGTACAATGTTAATTTAACAGTGTTAATTTACGCAGACATTTTTACAAATTCTAAATAATTATTTTGGTTTTCCTTCATTTAAAGATAAACATAACAGCAATAAGACTAATCTGAAAATAATCTACTTCTTCAGTGACAAAGATCATTTTCTGTGTCTACCTTAACAAGTTAACAGGTTAAAGAAAATGTGCCACTTAAATCTGAGTCTCAGGCTGTAGGAATTTTTTATTGTGCTAGTAGCTTCCAGCTGTATTGTCTGTCCAGGAGGGAATGGAACATTTATACATTTTAGAATGTATAGTTGCAAAAAAAAAAAAAGATAAAAATGTATAGTTGCCACAGGATAATAAATGTTCTTCAGGAACAGAATTAAAACATTAGCAGAAATAAAGGCTGGAATGTGCCAGCTGGCAAATAATGTGGCCAATTTATTTGAAAACAATTTGTTTGGCTTCTGCTCTTTTACTACACTGACGCAGGTGAGATTTAAGTGATAAATATGTTGCTGATCTCTTTTAAGACTGGCTTTGATTTTAGGTGGTTCTGCCTTTTTTATTACAGTTACTTGAATCACAGTAGTGAAGTTTTCAAAGCACTGAGTGTAGGGGGAACATAAAGATACTTACTAGGATCAATAAGGATGTTAAGCTGCCAACAACTAAATTGATGATACGATCCTGAAAGAAGAAATAATTCTGAGCCATGACTTGTATCAATGGTGTTTTTATAACAATACAATGCCTGCCAAGGGGGGGGGTAAGAATGAAGAAATGAGGCAAAGGGACAGCAGGTTTACACAAAATGGCGAGGGGTGGGGGTAGTAACATAACCAATGCCCTCAGCAAGAATCTTGTTGGATGCCATCAAGTCAAATGTCTCTTAGTGATCCTATGATCTTGTGCCAAAAGTTGGCCCAAGCCCACTGTGTCAGTCTATCTTGTTGAAGGACTCCCTCTTTTTCTGTGGTCCTCTACTTTTCCGAGCCTGATGGCTTTCTCAAAGGACTGACACCTCCTGGTAACAAGTCTAAACTTCCAGATTAAGAACAGGACTGGTTGACCACTTCTGAAATAACACGCCCTCAGAAACCTTTATGAATAAAAGCAGAACAGTCTGAGCAGGGAAGAAAAAGGTAGGGCTTAGTTGAACTTACACCAGAGCCTTGATGGATGGTATGAGGAACCAGACTTGATAAAGCTGGGCAATGAAAAGATCTTGCACCTATTTAACATATAATATTGTCCTAATAAAATTTAAAAGCAGATCTTTTGGCCAGAATTTAAGTACTTTGTTGCCAACTCAGAACCAACTCATAGATGAACTTCAGCCACCCATCTCCGTCTGCAAAGCACCACATACCTTTACACAGGTAGTTCCCTACCAACCATGATCAAGAACTAGTGTTTGGTGTATGGTTGTACACATCTCAACATGAACAGTCAACATGATAAACAGAGAAAAGGTCAGTGATTTCAAGATGAACAATCAGCTTAGATCAACAATCAGCACCTTTGGTACTGGCAGTCAGGAGATGTATTATTGCATTGGGTAAGTCCACTCACTGTCAAAGGCCTACCTAAAATCCTGAACAGCAAGGATGACAATTTGAAGACAGGTGTGCCTGACTAAGGGCCTCCCTAAAATCCTGAACAGCAAGGATGACAATTTGAAGACAGGTGTGCCTGACTAAGGCCAAGGTCTTCTCAAGTCCAGTACTGAATATCCTATGGACTGCCAAAAGAACAGATGTTTCTTGGAGGAAGTGCAGCCAGTCGATGATGCTTTATCTCTCATACTCTGGACTATTTTTAATTGAAAGGGGGTATCATGCTCTTAAAGCATCAGTTAAGGAGAGAAAAGACCCCTGAGATGGATTGACATGGTGACTGCAGCAGTGGGCTCTAGTGTGTCAGAGATCATAGGATGGCACAGGATAGAGCAGGTTCAGCTCTCTGTAGGGTGACTATCAGTCACTTGATAGCACCTAACAGGCCAGACTGTTCTGGTATCATCTGAAATTGGAAAGGTCTGGTGTGAAAAACAATGTATATGAACTTCATAAATAAAAATTTTGTTTTAAAAAAATCTGCATGGGAGAATACCCAACTTCCTGGATTTGAACTGTCTGGCATTACAGTGCAGCTTCTTACCACTAGGCTACCAGAAGTTAAGAGTATGAATGCATAAACCAAACCATACCCACTGTCATGGATTTGATTCCAACTTTTCACCTGAAGCTTATATAACTGACCTTGATAAATGAGGTGGTAAGTCTTTCAAATAAACTGACTCAATAGATTAAAGCTGCCAGTTCAATCAGCAGCTGAATACCTTAACCACAGTGCAGTGAGAGCCAAAAGTTTACCTAAGCCAACTTTCTATTTTCTGGTCTACTTAGAGAAGTCCCATCTCTTATCAAAGAATTTTAATACCTTATTAACTGCTCTGTCAACAGAAGCCAGTGAGGAAGTTGAGGTAAAAAAATCTTCGAACAGTATAGCAGTTGCCCAACATCAAAGTATCGGGGAAATAATGTTGGAAGAAGACTAGGAAGATTTTTCACAGTTTTCTCTTCTTAAAAAAAAAGAAGAAAAAAAAACACCACCTTAGTTTGAGTATTAGGACTACTTTGCAGACAGGAAAACAGGCTTGGGGAAATTTAAGAGCTCACTAGCATCTCTAATAACAGAACTCTAGGCTCAGAGATGATGTTATTCAAAACAATCCTCCAGAGTTTAAGAATGTAAACTGCAACAACAGAAGACTGCCTGTCTTTGAAGGAGCATCAGATTTGAACCAACAGAAATGGACAGTGCAGCTCACCAGATTATTAAATGGCTGGGTAAGTTTTCAGAGGACAGTGACAGAGTTTAGAGTAGATGAAGAAAATGTGGCGTTCTGATGTTTATGAACCAAACTCAGGTTCTTTCCACTTCTACTACTAGTGTGCTAACTTATTTCTCACTAATTCTCTTTCCTCCCTAGCATTGCTACCTTAGTTCACCTACCAAAACTATCCCTTCTTGCCGGAGCTTGAAAGCGCCTGCTCATTTTCACTCCCCAAAAATGCCAGGTGAGATCAGAATTAGTCTTAATCCCTGCCTTGCAGACGCTATTCCTGTACATAGATAAACATCAAAGTATACTTTTGAAAGGGTTTCCACATACTACAACTGTTAAGTGCCTCTGAGTCAAGTACAGCTCAAAGCGACCCTATGAACAGATCTGAACATGTGCCATCCTCACAATCTGACATACTCAAGCAGTCATACTGCTGCAGTCACTGCATCAACCTAGGGTTGAGAGTCTTCTCCTTTGCTATGTCCTTCCTAGCAACATGCCCAAAATATGGGAGGCAAAGTTTTGCCATCCTTACCTCCTAGGAGTACTCTGGCTGCACCTTATATATGTTTAGTCTTGGCAGTTCATGGGCTAATCAGTACTCCAACAACACAACTTGAAGGCATTATTTCTGCCATACTTATTCCTCATCCAGCTCTCAGATACATAGAAAGGGAATGAAAAGAGCATGGCCTGAGTCAGGCACACCTTAGTCCTCAAACTAATCTTAAAACTGCTCCTCAGTAATAGGTCCCTGATTACAGGCTTTTCCCAGTACAATACTTCTGATATCCTCGCTGCTGGTACCAAGTGTACTGATTGAAACTGTCAGTGACTTGTATCCACAATCTTTCTCCATCTACAGTGATACTGCCTATAATCAGTGGTGAGAATTTTTGGTTTGACACTGAGGTGCAATTCATATTGAAGGCTGCAGTGTTTGATCTTCAGCAAGTGTTTCATAATGACTACTAAGTCATTAATAGTTATTAATAAATATTTCTGATTTACTATTATATTTCAATTTCAGAAGTGGAAGGCCAATCCTGCTTCTGTTGTTTATGTTAGGTCCCATTGAGTCATGTACAACTCACAGCAATCCTATGGACAACAGATCTAAATTCTGTTCTATGCTTTGGCATCCTCACAATCTGGGACATAGTTGAATCTTGCTGCTCTCACTGTCCACCTGACTGAGGGTCTTTCACTCCTTCGCCATCCCTCCACCTTTCCAAGTATGATAAGACTCCCAGGTAGACGAGTTCTGCTTTTGATCCTCTGAAAGTTTAGTCCAGGTTACTTCATCCCTACTACTTCTATTCTTTGGAGCTAAGCCTTTATTTAAAGCCTGTGAAGCCATTAAACTGCTCTAACTGCAATCACTAACTTTACTCATCTGTTTCCTCCTAGAGACCCTCATGTGTAGGAGGGTAAGGACCTTGTCTTGTTCATGGTTATGTTCTGAACCACTGTTTATGATATAGCTGAAATTCCTCCCAACACTATGCTGTGTGCTCTGGCATGGGGCTGCTCTAATTCAGAAGAAAGAGCACTTGCTCTAATTTAGACAAAGCCATGCACAATATGCCCTATAAAGGCTTCCACTACCCAGTACAGAGGCTTCAAGATGTACAAAGGCATCAACAAGTATCAGACCCAGCACAAGAAAATGTCCAAGTAGTAAGTAAACTGATAAGCTAGCTAGCTTCAGATTTGTGCTTTTCATTATCAGCTAAGTCATCACTGTTGTTCCTAAGCCTTTTGAGTTTTTTGACTACTCATTTCTATTCGGGGTACTTCCAAATCCCATTCTTAAACCTTATCAGATAACCCTACAGCAAGTAAACAACCCCCAAGATGCTCCTAATGCCATTCTTTCAAGCATGAAAAAGACAAAACGGTAAACAACTACTTACTGCGTCCATTTTTCACTTAGATCTTGAATTCTCTCCCTCAGGGAGTCCATCTTTGGACCAAAAACTACAAGTCCTACCCAATAACAGAGTTCTTCCTGCTTCCCATTTGATCTTACATAGACAAAAGATGGAAAATGACTGTATAGACAAAAGATGGGAAATGACTGCACAAGTGTTAGGAAGAAAATAAAAACAAGATGAACATTGACCACGATAGAGACAGCCAAAGTATTTTTAAAAGAGAGATCAAAGGAGGATTTGCTTTAACTATGTGACAAACCTTTAGGAGAAAAAATGAGAACCGTATCTAGGAAAAGGATACTACACACAAATGATTCCAATTAGCACAGTGGGTGGCGCTGGGGCAGGAATGAGTTTGGTGAACTAGAATAACAAAGAGGTAAAAAGCCAAGGTGGGTAAGTAGTTGTTTCGTGCTGTCAAGTCACTTGTGACTCATAGTGACCCTATGTACAATAGCCCTAAACTCTGCTCTGTCCTGTGCCAATCTCATTGTGTCCAACACACTCATCCCGATTGCCCCAAGTCACCAAATCAATCCAGCTCCCAGAGGGTCTTCCCTCCTGCGCCTGCCCTCCACCCTCCCAAGCATGATGTCCTTCTCCAAGGACCGGTCCCTCCTTACAACATGTCCAAAGTATGTTAGACGGAGCCTCAGAATCCTTGCCTCCAAGGAGCAGCCCAGTTTAACCCTCTCCAGGATGAATCTGTTTTCTTAACAGTCCATGGTACTCTCAATACTCTTCTCCAACACCAAAGCTCAAAAGCATCAATTCTCCTTCTATCCTCCCTGGTCATTGTCCAGCTCTCTGATGCATAACAATTGATTGCAAGGACCATGGCCTGTACCAGATGCACTGAATTAAAAATAAACACGCATGTGCATTCAAGTCCGAGCTCT